AGCATAGCAAGATCATTAACTGGGAAGAAACACTAACCATGAAACGATCATATAAAACAAGTAGTAATTTTTCTTAAGGTAACGTGGGTGACAATCCACCTTACAAATGGAGGCAGAATTTTGAAACCTTGGTAGCAGAGATCCCTTAGTTGGAGAACATCTACTTCCTTCCTTAGGTACACTGACCCCTGTGTATCAAGAAGTCACAATTACATTTCAAAACAAGGCATTTTCATGAAAGGACTTTGTAACAAATTACTTAGTTTTGAGCTGTATAAATAGAGGCAAGCACCTCTGGCTTAAGAAACATATGTCACTTGACTCTAAGAAACTCACTGTAGCTATAAGCAGTTTTGAAACATCAGCATCACATGCCATGTCTGTGTGCAGCATTTGGCTCTCCAACTGGAGTTACCAACACTACCCGGTAATTAAGCGTTGTTTGAAGTGATTATGAGCTAATACCACCTTTTTCAGAGAGTCTCAAAGCACCCTTGTAGCCATTACATAAGGCTTGGAGCACTGGTGAGACTGCTTCTGCTACTCTCTTTAAGTATGTAGAAAAAGTTAGTGGGAACAATGTATGGATAAGTTTAATTGGCCAAATGTAATTAAATCATGTGAGTTTTTCCACTCACATCAGCGTCAATTTTTAAGTGAGCACAAAGGTGGGTACGTCTATCAGACAGTGCAGTGAAATAATTTTAGTTTTCGTTAGTGGGTATGGCAATGCAACAGCTACTGTGACCCACAGTGACTCAGCATCTTTCAGTTGATGATGTAGAACACAACTTTTAAAAAAAGTTTCTTATTAGATCTAGTTACTGAAATATGCTCCATGCCACTTCTGTGGGGGACACCCCAGAAACACCAACGGGCATGGAGAATGGAAAGCCTTAGGATTACACAGGATTCCTACACTGGCTGAGGGTGCAGTTCAGGTACTCCACGGTAAGAGTAATTTCAGGCAACTGCACAATCCTCCACTGAGCCTCCAGCTGCTGCATCAGGAGCAGAGAAGTCTCTGACAGGCATTGTGTCACACCACATCTCTGCATGCAAGCAGAAATTTCATGTACCCTGAAATACATGAAATGGTGCTAGACACCTATGTTTAGGTACATGAACTACTTCCTAAGTGATTTCCCAAGTGTAAGCACACAAAATGCTTTTTGATAAAACTGTAGTTCTCTGGTACACCACCATATCAACTTTCTATTAGTTTGGTAGTCTTACTATGAAACAGGTAAGACAGATAAACCATGTCTAGAAATTGTTTTAAAATGCAGAGACGATATTTTTGTATTAAAAACTCGCAACAAAATTTACCTTGTGTCATTCAGGGTTCCTGCACTTCTTAAATTCATGAACCGAACAGTCTTGCTCTTCACCTCTGGGGCATATTGTAATTGCTGTTGAAAGTAAGTGTAAGTATAATGGAATTAAAAGTTAAAGCACAAAGAAATATAACTTACATGTTTGTTGCATAAATTAAATAAATCCTTGAAGACCTTTCCATTCCCCTCAGGTAAAACATTCATATTCTACATCACAGAGCTGATACAGAAAGAATTACACAGCTCTAGTCCTTGAATGATTGAGTCAATCTAAAATATCCTTGTCTCCTGCTGCAAACTAATTCAAAAAAATAAGAGAATTTTACTGACAGAGTAGTGAACTAGGAAAGAAAAGAGCTGTTTTCTGTTGCCCTAGCACAGAATTATTGAGCAGTTTCAAACAACTGTTGTAAGCCACTATTTTCACAAGTATCCACTACTCAAATGCTTTATTGTCAGCAGCTTGTGTCCCTCTGTTAAAAGCCACAAATCCTCCCGAATAAAGCCCCGAAGTCTCCTGACTTACAAACAATTTAACATCACACTTGATATTACAGGTCTCTTCTGTAAAACAAGCTGTTTAATTTCTACTCTATCTTCTGTTTAAAAGGAGCTTTAAAAAACAAATCAGATTTACAGAAAACCTCTATCAACACCACATTAGCAATATAAGACAAGAGACCAAAATGGGCAGCCCCTTTGAGGGGAAGCAATACACCAACAGGGATAAAGTTGATTCTCCAGTCTAACAGACCAGCAGAAGCATTTATGCTGTCCATTAAGACAAGAAGACAGTGTTCTTGCTATTTCCTTCTTAACCTGGGCTCTGAAGAGGTACGGTTTTAGATGGATGGTAAGACAGCACTTGTGATTGCCTTTTGCATACCTGCACAAGGTAACTTGAAAAGCAGGTAACGTTTAAAAAATATCCGTGACAGCTCCTCTCCAAGCACCCGCAAGAGCAAACCACAAGAACACCCCCCTCACTGTTCTGTTAATGCAGAGCCACGACACGGACGTAAGGACAGAGGACAGCAAACTCCCGGTAGCACCACGAAGACGCGGGCTGACAAAACACCCACTGGTGCCCGCAGGGTTTGGGCCGCGCCCTTTAGCATTCCACCCAGGCTCAGAAGCTACCTGACCGCAGCTACCGCA